AGAGAGTGTCACAAGACATGGTGCGTGCGCGTATTTTGGTGGTGGGTTGTTTTATACCTCTAAAACGAGAGGGTTGGTGGTCAATGGTTTGTAATACTCTTCACTTTCTAAGAACACTCCGAGGAGTGGTTGTACTGCCGTTGGTGGTTGTTTAGTGAGACCTGTCCGACGCTTCCTCCGGTGTCGTTTGCTCTGTGGTTTGTTAATCCTCACTTCCGAGGGGTTGGTATTGTCGTCTTGTTGTTATAAACCTACTCGAGGGGTTGGTGGTGGTTGTTTATACTCTCCCAGTTCCGCAGGCGTGTTGTGTGGTAGGTTGTTCAATCATAGTCCGAGGGGTCTGGTGCCGCTGGTTTTGTTGATTACTAGTTCCGAAGCGTGGGTTGGTGTGTTTGTTATACCTCCAGTCCGAGGGGTTGGTGGTGGTGTTGTTACTCCATTTAGTTCCGAGGGGATGTTGTCGGCTTGGTTGTCTATAAGTTCGCGAGGGAGTTTTGGTTGTCTTCGGGTTGTTATAACTCCCTCCCGAGTGGGTCGGTCGGTATGTTTGTTATAAGTCCGAGGGTTGGGTGGTGGTTTGTTATACCTAGTCCGAGGGGTGGTGGTCTCATTGATCCTCACCTATAGTCGCGAGGGGTCTCGTGGCTTATCTCGTGGTTGTCATACTTATGATTACGCGCTAGGGGTTGGCGGTTGTTTCATTAACCTTCCGTGCACGGGTTGTCTTGGTGGTGTTGTTATACATCCTCCTGCCAGGCGATGCTCGTTTGCGCTCCTGGCTTGGTCTCTTTCACTATCCTACTCGCGAGGGGCTTTCGGTTTGGTCTTGGTGCTGATTTACCATTTACTCCTACCCCTCACGCAGTCCCGAGGGCGTTGGGTGGTGCTTTAGTTTATACCCTAGACCTCGTCTCCCCATGCGCGTCCTACCCCTTCTGTGGCTGCTCTTGTGGTTGCCTCCTTCACACTCTCCTTCAGCCAACACTCAGCACATCCCCGCGCACTGTGGAGAGATTCGCGAGAGACAACGCGAGTGAGGTATGTATACTAAGTATCGCGGTGGGGTTTGGTGTTTTATTTATTGTCATTAACACGTCCGAGGGTGTTTGGTGGTGGGTTGTTATAAGTTCGCCAGGAGCCGCTGGGTTTGCATTGGTGGTGTGCGTGCGTCTGTGGTCATATAGAGGATCAGAGAGGTCCGACAGTAGTTCGGCTGGGTGGAGTGTGTGTTGTTAGTATAAGTGCAGCAGGGGTTGCGTGAGACGCTGGGTGTGTTATTTATAAGTTTCTCGAGGTTTGGTTTTTTGTGTTGTTGTGTTGTTATATGTTTTTAATGCTTCCGGAGTGGGGTTTTGGTGTGGTGTTTGTTATTTAAAGTCCCGAGGGGTTTTTGTGTGGTTTGGTTGTATAGTAATGTTTCTCGAGGGGTTGTGGTTGTGTGTTATTTAAGGTGTGTGTGTGGGGCGTGTGTGTGTGAGTACTTCGAGGCGGTTGGTGGTGGTATGTTATGAGAGTCTCGAGTGTGTTTGGTGTGTGTTGTGGTTGTTTAATGTCGTGTGTCTGTAGGCGAGGTGTTGTAGGTGTCCCAGTGGGGTCTTGGCTGGGTTGGGTGTTTGTTGTGTGTTAGTTAGTAGTGTGTGTGGTGTGTGTAGGTCTCGGAAGGGGTTTGGTCGTGGTGTGGTGGTTGGTGTGGTGTTTTTATAACTCTACGAGGTGGGTTGCGGTGGTTGGGCGTAATGCATGAAATAACACTTTTCGGCTGAATGAGGGTTGGTGTTGCGAGTTTGTTTATTAACTCGCGGCGAGGGGTTCAGGTTTATTTTGCGTCTCTCCGTCTCCATCTACATTCCGCGCACCCGGGCGCGTTGGTGAGTTCTTTGCTATAACATCTCTCCCTGCCGTCTCACGCCTCCTACCCCTTGAAGGGGTTTGATGTGGTTGTATAACTCCGATAGGGGTTGAATGGTGGCTCCTGTTCCTACACTCCAAGTCCCGATGGCCGCGGTCTCCTCGCGTCTTCTGCGCGTGTCTGCCGTCTCTCCTGCTATACTCTCCCCTCCCTCACGATTCCGAGGGGGTTGTTTGGTGGGTGGCGGCCTTGTTATATTCCCTCTAGCTCCCGATGTGCATCGCGGTGTTGTGGTCCTTCCGGCTCGTGGTTGTTATAAGTCCGAGGGGTTGGCTCGGCTGGTTGTTCATAAATCGAACTCCGGAAGGTGGTTTTTTGGCGTAAATGCTTATCATTCCCAGGGGTGGTGTGGTTGTTATTACCTCCTCCACTCGAAAAGGTCGGTTGGTGTGGTTGTTATAATCAGCTTCCGTTACGGGTGGCTTTCTTGGTTGTGGTTTGTTATATCACTATCGAGGCGTCTTCGTTCGCGCGGGGGTGAGAAATAGAAGGACAGTATAATTAATGTAAGAAATTATACGTATTGCACTCACTACATTTTGTTGAGAGATGAAAAATGTTATGTGTTTTGTTGTGCGTTCTTTTGTTTAGACTTTTGTTTGTTTCAGTAACGCGTATGGTGGGTGATTTTGTTTGTTTTTGTTTGTTGTTGTGATTGTTTGTGGTTGTCGCGTTTGTCTTGTTGTTATTGTTTTTAACTTTCCCCGGTGTTCGTCGTTCTGAGTAGTTGGTTGTTTGTTTGGAGCCTTAATGTTGGCGGCTTTGTGCTTTAAGTCTTACTAGAGGGGTTTGGGTGTGGTTGTATTATAACTTCTCTTTCGCTGGTATTTGGCTCTTGGTAGTTTTAACTGGGGCATTGTTATAAGAACTGCTGCGTTGGAGGTAGTGGTTAATTTTATTGTTAGTGTGGTGGTTGTTATAAACTCGCGAGGGGTGGTTAAGATGAGGTTTGTTATAAGCTCCGAGGGTTGGTGGTGGTGTTATAAACTCCAGGGTTTGGTGTGGTCTGTTATAGATCCGAGGGGTTGGTGGTGGTTGTTATGAGATAGTCCGAAGGGTTGGTGGTTGGTTGTTATACTAAGTTCGAGGGGTTGGTAGGTGGTGGTTGATAATAGCTCAGAGTGGTTGTGGGATTAGTTGGTTATATACCCTGAGGGGATTTATTGGTGGTTGGTTGGCCTATGTAACTCGAGGTTGGTTTGTGTTGTTATATAACTCGAGGGTTGGTGGTGTTTATTAATCACGCGAGGGGTGGTGAAGTCGGATTGATTATAAGTCCGAGAGGTGCCTTGGTGTGCTGGCCTAATATGTTATAACTCCGAGGGATGCTTGTTGTGGGTGGTTGTTATAACTCCGAGGGGTTGTTGGTGGTGGTTAATAACCGAGGGGCTTGGTGGTTGTTATAAGTCCGAGGGGTTGGTGGTGGTTGTTATAAGTCCGAGGGGTTGGTGGTGGTTGTTATAAGTCCGAGGGGTTGGTGGTGGTTGTTATAAGTCGTGGGTTGGTAAGGTGTATTATATATCAGTTCCGTGGTTGTGGTGTTGTTATACTAGTCCGAGGGTTGGTGGTTGGTTGTTATAAGTTCGAAATAAGTCCGAGGGGTTGGTTGGTGGGTTGTTATAACTCCGAGGGGTTGTGTGTTGTGTGGTTGTAGGAGATGCTGCTCTGGAGAGAATCGCGTCGGATGAGGTTTAAGGGGAGGTTGTGTGAGGTTAGATGCAGGGCTGTCAAACCAGTAATAACTTCTGCTATTCCAGTACCCTATGACGTAGCGATGACG